CTCTCACCTCTAGCCCCTCGGCCATAAAAGATTCCTCCTTTTCAAAGACAAGCTGTTACTCTCTATCCCCAAAGAGCTAGCCTGTCAGCCCCTGCTGACAATAAACTCCTTTCTCAGTACGTGATCATGTGTTCACATGGTTATCTGGGCTGGTGCTTTCAAAAATAGTTTACACAACACCAAGATTGAGTCATGCAGCTACTAAGAACAAAGAAGTTGCAGGAGGACAGAATTATAAATTTTGTTGTCCAAAACCATAGAGTGATATGGACAGGAAAAGTGTGACTAGAATTTATAACACCACTGGGACCAAACAGTGCCACATATTCTGTATGTCATTTATTTTTCATCCACATTATATGTTGCCAAGTACAGTATAAATCTCAAGGTGAAGCTGGCTCAGACCATTGTTCACGAGTCATGTTCAGATCAATCACTCTTGTCTTTTGTTCTGGCCCACAAATCACTGCCACCAATTACATCACTTAAGATTTAGGAAAAACCACAGGAGAGCTGACCATTATGCTGTTTTGACAAATTAAGGACCCAATTAAAGTGACTCTAATAAGCTGGAAACAAGCACTTAGGCATAACATCAAGGCTGTTGCCTCACACTTCAGACTGCCAGCTCTACCCGAGGAGGGAGTGAAGGCTGTATGGTGTAGTTCTGGCCCAGGAAGAAGAAAGGAAGAAAAAGAGGAAAGAGAAAGGGAGGGAGGAGGCAACTCCACCCAACACATAAGCACCTTTTTTCTTTCTGAACTGTCACTCTGTACATGAAAATCAAGTTACTCATGCAAACTCAGTGGTGATTATTTGTTTCTTAGTAGGTTCGTGATGAGGTAGATGGGCTCATGGGAGGAGAGATGGCTCCTCTTAACAATGTGGTTTACATGTATATGATCAATAGAAATGACTAGCATAATTATTACTCTTTCCAATAAAAGAATTCTAAGGAGTACTTTCAGAAGCGTGTCATACTCAATTGGTTGGCTTTTGTTACCCCAAGCTCTTCCCAAACTGATCAAGAAAAAGGACAACTGTGGTTAAAAAAAAAAAAAGGCATTCACACAGGATGTGCCAGTCACAAAGGATGTGCCAGCCTGAGTGAAAAGCTGGCCCCCAAACACTAGATTAGCTATCCTGGAGGGTTCCCCTCACAGCCTCAGAGGCAAATTCCTCTTAGAACCTAAGGAAGAAAGATATCAAAACTTCCATTCATTTCTAGCAGAATTCCACCCCTAGACTAAAGAAGAGAAAGAGAAGCACCATTTCTCACAATAGATGGCTATTATTTTTCACAGCGTGTTCCTTCATGTATTCTATACTTCCTCATGGACTAGAAACTGAACAGATGATTATTTTGTCAAGACAATGAAATCACATGTTCAGGTTCAGGTAAGTCTAAATTAGATTCCATCCATCTAAATTAGACACTATTCAGGTAAGTCTAAATTAGATGTTGAAGAATTAAAAACAGACCCCACTTGTTGTCATATTCATTCATGCACAAAATGACTCTCAAGCAAGAAGCAGAACGGCAAAACTAGTGTCCTGTTCAAGTAGAGCAGGTTAACTTTCTAATTTCTATAATCAAATCATAACTCATGACTGGCATGAGGAGTAAGGAAAAAGAATTTAACTTAGTTCTCCCTAATAAAGAGTACCATACCACTATGGAATCTCATCATGAATTTGTTGTTCATTGAAACTTTAAAAAAAAAAACAGCTTGCATTTATTGAACATTTGCTAAGTCAAGTACTTTGGGAAGCCTATTCATTTAAACACAATAGTCCTATTTAGGACTACACTAAACTTAGCAGGATGGATATATTTCCTCAACCTCTACTAGAGGTTGAGGAAAGAACATCTGAATGCCGAGAAGAGCTAAGCACAGAGCCTCTGGGTAGATGGTTTCTGTGGGAAGTCTATAGTTTTTATTCTCTTTACTTGAGAACTCCAAGTGCTGATGTTTTAAAATATGTGAAAGAACTATTGACCCTAAGTGTCATGGATGAGATCACTCAAAATGTCAACCTCAGAGAACATTTTAAGAGAAATTCAGTTTCTTTTGTACCGCATATGCCATCACCAGCTTAGCTTGTTACATGCTCTTAAATGGAAAAATAAACCAATTTTTTAAAGTCTGCTTTTATTAAGTTATATTTCTTGTATGGAAATAAACCTTTGTTTTTACAACTATCCAGTAGGTAGACAGATATTTGCCATGCCTTTCCCTATTCAGGTAATCATGAGTAGACCACAGAACCACCAGCCCCATTCTAGATTCAAACCCACCTGTGAAGATTCCTGAATGAATATAATTGCATGCCCACCGATGACTCTATCTAATTTCTATCCAGATAAACTAACACCTGAACAAGTGCTTCCTTGTGAACCATCACCATGCTCAGCTTCCCTTCTCAGTATAACCTCCCTGACATGGAAGAACAGTTAGGCCATGTGCTCCCTTCCAGAAATTTCCTTTGACAATGGAATAAGAGTTTATATTCCCACCTGCATATGGTTGATCTTTTGTAAAAGAAAGAAGGTAGTAGCAGAAATTAAACCCTCACCTTGAACAACATCTTAATTTCAAAGGATGCCACACCTACACTGCTCCTGAAGACTCATGGAAAATATTGGAGGTACTTTTAATCATTAGGTTATTGCCATTTATCAAGATGAAATAGTTTTATGATTCTCTTTTTATATTGTTGACCCTGCCCCCTTAGCATCAAGTTAGTTACTCTTTTGTGCAAAGGAGATCTTTTTTCTTTCTTTTTTTATTGTGAAAATACTGTACAGAGGGGTTACTATTACATGGGCAAGATAATGAGTACATTTCTTATCAAGCATTGTAGCCTCCTCCTTTGTTTCCCCTTCCCATCTCTTCCCATCCTCCCCCCGCCCCCCCCAATCCTCCTCCACCCTCACCAAAGTTGTAAAATTCATTTTTCCACATAACAACTTGTACATCTCATTGTTGCAATGGGTCCACCTGTACCCCTATTTAAACGATTTGTTTTTCCCTTCCCTTCCACAAATTATACCACCATCAAATACAGTGAAAGCAGGGTTTATACCATGGGGGAGTGGATATTTTTAACTATATATGATGGTACACATCTGTACGCATACCTGTAGCCAGCACTTGTGAGGCTGAGTGAAGAGTTTGAATTTAGCCCAAGCAACACAAGTTTGAGGTCACCCTAAGCTACATATCAAGACTCTATCTTTGAAAAATAAAATAAAAAGTAGCATTGTATTGTTTTTCCTTTCTTTTTCCCTATAAAATGAGCAGTTTATCTTGAGTCCCTTGAACTTGCTCTTGGAAAAGACAGCTAACATTCATGGAATGTCTACTATATGCAAAGCAATGTAATAAGCTTTTATCCTTGTTTGTCACAATCACCCAGTTAGGCAGGCTATTTCTGTTATAAGGATAAAAAATAAATTAAGGTTCAGAGAGCTTAAGTACTCTGTTCACTGCCCTCAGGCTGGTAATTGTGAAACTGGCCCAACCCATCTGACCATCCCTGAAGACTCATCCACTACATGGCCCACAATGCACTACAAATTCTCCCCCCAGGAAATGACACATTTTGCTTCCTGGTGAGAGTGGACCGTCATCCACTGTCCTTATTATCTAAACGAGTATTTTCTTCTGATTTCCAACACTGCTAGTTTCGTTTTTTGGAAGATATTAGAGCAAATAGTGCCTTTCCAATCTCCCGCTTAGCATCACCTACAGAAGGCATCTGTCCCTATAAAGGCACCTATAGTGAAGCAACAAACAAGACACAGGAAAAGACGGAGCTTGGAAGATGCCATAGGGAGCACATGACTCAACATCTCAGGATTGGCTCAGCAGATGGCTCCTCCTCAGGTAGGCCAAATTCAACACCAAAAGCTGATGGCCTTTCTGTCCCAATGGGGAAGGCAGGCCTGGCTCTCTGTCTTTAATCCATACTCCAGAACTTTCTTTAAAAGGCTTCTTAACTGGGCATCAATTCTAGTTACTCAGGAGGCTGTGATCTGAGGACTGTGGTTTGAAGCCAGCCCAGGCAGTAAGGTCTATGAGACACTCATCTCCAATTAAACACCAAAAAGCCAGAAGTAGAGCTGTGGATCAAGTGGTAGAGCTCAAGCTGTGAGAAAAAACGCTTAGGGACAGCACCCAGGTCCTGTTCAATCCCCAGGAATGACACTAAAACAGGGGTGGGTGGAGTTTTCTTTTCTCTTCTGTGCCTTCCTCCCCACAGTGTCCTAGAAAGTCCTGGTCTGGGAAGGTGGCTCAGTGGTAAAGTGCTTGCCTTGCATGCTTGAGGCCCTGGGTTCAATTCCTCAGCACCACATAAGCAGAAAAAAAAAGCCGGAAGTGGCGCTGTGGCTCAAGTGGTAGAGTGCTAGCCTTGAGCTGAAGAGCTGAGGGACAGCGCCCAGGCCCAGAGTTCAGGCCCCACGACTGGACCCAAAAAATAAAAATTAAAAAAAAGAAATTCCTAAGAATCCAAATAGAATTTTATTGTCTGAAAAGTAAACAGAGAGTTCAGCTTTTAAAGCTCAAATCCAAGAGATGCTGCACTTCACAAAAATAAATTCCTAATAGCAAGTTCCTTATAAGAACCCCAGAGCATTGTGAAGACCAGTCATCTTTTATGTCGCTCACAGAGAATGGATCTAATCCTTGTTTCAACATTAGAGAACCCAGTCCTTCATTTAATTCCACTACCAATCTTAGTTCAACCAAAGTTACTTCATCCAATGAATTTCTAAAATGTGGACCAATGAAAAGGAACTCCAAAAGAAAGCAGCTGTGCTCCACAAACAAAACATCAAACCAGGAAATGTATGTTTTTTTCCCAGCAATGCCCCTTAGGCCACCTGAAGGAATACATAGTGCATCTATTCAACAGCTGCTTACGTATACCTCATCTAAATTTCCTTCTTGAAGAAATACATTTTTTAAATACAGTGAAGATAGGCCCACACTTACCTTTCTGTAAGTAGGAAAATGGTGGTTAAAAGTTCTTTGCTTCCATTCAGCTGTGGAGACAACTGCTGGACCTCGGGGAACACACCCTGTGTCCCTGCTGCCTCTCAGCCTCTCCCTTCATCTTCTACAATCATTAACCATGAACATGTTTTATAGAACCACTGGATATCATAAAAGGTATCATTACATTCAGTCCAGGAAAGAAATGCATTTGTTCCAAAGAAGTTCCACTCACATTTAATACATCGCAAGACCAGTCACCGAATTTTTAGTGTGGAGGAACAAATAAAATGCAAAAGAGTAGAAAAGACTGTTATGTATTCACAATCTCTGGCTCTATGACATATTTGCCTGCCCCCCCCCCCAACACTTAGTCTAATGTCTACCGGGAGCACTAAGCCAATAACTGTGAGGATTTTTAAGTAAAAACCACTTGGGGCTCCATGTGTGATCCAAGATAGCATCCATCCATTGATAAGTAGCCACATGGGTTGTTATAAATAACTCAGAAGATTAGATTGGATGCATGGCTGCCCCTGCTTCTGGAATTCAAAGTCTGCATGAAGCCACCAATAGTAAACCTTCTCCAAACACAAGCTGAGTCTTTTTCCCCCACTGTCTGGGAACAGACTTACTTATGAGTAAGTTCTTTTTAAAAAAATAAAATAAAAATGAAGTTTCAAATTAACCCATAAAAGCCAATAGCCCAGACTTCTTAAGTCAAGCCCTCTTTTAGATGGATCACTGATTCTCATACTTAAAAAAAAAGAATTGCTGTAAAGGTGATGCACAGAGGGGTTACAGTTAGGTAAGTAAGGTAATGAGTACATTTCTTTTTTTTTAATAGTGTCACCCTCTTCCTTGGTGGCTCCTGCTTACCCCTACCCAACTCCCCTTCTCCCCAAAAGTGTAAAGTTCATTTCTAACATAATGTGTAGTAAGATTCGCATACTTCTGTTGCCTGGGAATCTACATTCAAGATGAAAACCTATGTCATTTCAGAACTACTTGTTTCACCATTTTAACCCTGTTTCTAGAACTTTCTGGAGTTGGCTCTAGGTTTCTCCTAAGTTAGGGTATTTTCCATCTGTGGCTGGTAAGCTTCTACTGCAGGGCAAGCAGAGGGCCTGGCCTGCTCTCAAGGTGGTTCTTTCCTTCCAAGATCACATGAAAGGCCATTCCAAGAGCTTCTTTGGGGGTCTTCATGAAACAATCAGTAGTAAACTCTCTCTAAAGCACAAGCTAAGTTTTCAGCTTGAAAGCTCTAAGCAACTACAGGAAAGAGACCTTGTTTCTCTTGGGGACCCTAAAAGTCAAAGCATCTCACTGCACACGGGTGATCAGCTTCTGCAGTGGAGATGGGGTCCAGGAAGAGCCCCTGCTCCTACATTCAGGGAATCAGGTGAGCCAGGGAATCCCTTCCCAAATTCTGACCACCTCTGCACGTCCAGTAACTGGCTGGCAGGACCTCGTTCTACACTGTCATATGGCTTCCACTAGGGATATTCTTCACCTTCTGGAACCAATAGCCTCTGGCCTCATGGCATCACATGGAATAAGGTTTGCTTCTTCTCTGGAAGCTTTTTCATAATGTATATAAAAATTATTTTAAGGCCGGGTGCTGATGGCTCACACCTGTAATCCTAGCTTCTCAGGAGACTGAGATTTGAGGATTGTGATTCAAAGCCAGCCAGGACAGGAAAGTCCACAAGACTCTTTATTTCCAATTAACTACCAGAAAAACAGAAGTGGCACTGTGGTTTAAAGTGGTAGAGCACTAGCCTTGAGCAAAAGAGCTCTGGGACAGTGCCCAGGCTCTGAGTTCAAGCCTTACAAATGAAAAAAAAAAATTGATGCTACAAGGTTTTCTGCTGTTTGTTTTTTTTTAAATAAAAGTGTGTATAATAATTTCTTGTTTATCAACAAGTTCTTTTTTATGAACAAGTTTTTGTTCTTAACAATACTATATGCATATTTTACGACATATGGGTATATCAGTTAACTTCTTTTTTCAATTACCCTTTTTATATCAATGAAGTGGATTCCAGCTCACAGATAGAATATAGAAGAACAAAAAGGTATTGGATCTTGCCCAAGTTGCTCAGCCTGTGACAATAAAATCAGGACTTACATTGGAATATTAGCTTTCAACACATTCTACCTCCTGTGTTTTGAGAACCTTTGGTCATGAGCTGACATGTACAATATTTTGTCTTGCTCTTGTTTACTTACTGATGGCAAAAAAAAAAACCCTTGGTGTCCCCTTGTTTTTTAGCAAGTACATCTTAGAACTGAACTCCCTTCAGTTATTTAATGCAATAATTGAGCATGGGCAAATTTCACATACAGGCCCATTCACAGTTGATGAGAGTCTATACAAGCAAATGATTTTATGCCATTTTTTTACGTTTTTTTGTACCACAATGCTTTAGACTGAACTGGGTACTTTAGCCTAAAGAATCTTCCCTGATTACAGTTTTGTTTTGTTTTCTTTTGAGGGATGTGGTGCTGTGGCTCAAGTGGAGAGCACTAGCCTGGAGCACAAAGACACTAAGGGACAGTACCCAAGCTCAGAATTCAAGCCTCACAACCATCAAAAAAAAAAAGTATTTTGAGGTGCTCCTGTTTGAACTTGAGGCCTTACACTTGCTAGGCAAGCACTCTACAATTTGAACCATGCCTCCAGCCTTTTTTGCTTTAGGTTATTTTTCAGATAAGTTCTCATGTTTTATCCTGGGTCCAGCCTCAGACCATGATCCTCCTAAAAATGCCTCCTGCATAGCTAAAATTATACATGTGAGTTCCACACCTGACTTGTTTGTAGAAATTAAGTCAGACTTTTTGCCCAGTCTTCCCTGGAAATCTTATCATTCTGGATCTCTGCCTTCCAAGTAGCTGGGATTGAAAGAATAAACCATCTTTCCTGCCCTTCCCTAACTACTAAACAGAGTCTGTTTTCTGGTAAATTTAAACAAAATAGTGTCTACTTTTATATAGTTCTCACACATATTTCTGGGTTCATTTAGGTGTTTTGTTGGTTTGGAGCTATTTTATTGCTGTTGGCTTTGTTTGATTTTGGTAATATTCAAAACCAAATCACTTTGGTAGAATCATTAAAGAATTTAAAACTAAGATAATAAAATGAGTCACTAGTTCCAAGGAAGAAATATTTGAACTACATGTAGCACTGTTTTAAGATTTTAGCTAACAGCTGGGCACCAGTGGCTCACGCCTATATTCCTAGCTAGAGATCTGAGGACCTCGGTTCAAAGCCAGCCTGGGCAGAAAAGTCCGTGAAACTCTTATCTCCAATAAACCACCAGAAAACCGGAAGTGGTGCTGTAGCTCAAGTGGTAGAGCACTAACTGAAGAGCTAAGGGACAGCGCTCAGACCCAGAGTTCAAGCCCCAAGACCCACCAAAAAAAAAAAAAAAAAAAGATTTTAGCTAACAGCTACCTTATGTTCTTCTTTAAAAAACTATTCAAATTAATAAGGTCCTTTTCCCCATTATCTCATCTACCAAAGTCGAACCAGTTTGCAGTTGTTTATTCCAAGGATAGTTTAACTCTTTGTTCAGGGCCTTTCATCTGATTGCAATTATCCTTCCATGCCACTGGGGAGACCCTCTGGGTGGAGTGGTAGTATTTATATTAATACTGCACATTAAACAAGTAACTTCCAGGCTTTCCAGACCCAGAGAGTTGATTAAAACTGGGCTTGTTCTGTGATATCCTGATTCAGCAGGCCCAGCATACCAGGGAATCGTGTGTGTGTGTGTGTGTGTGTGTGTGTGTGTGTGTGTGTGTGTGCTGGTCCTGGACTCGAACTTAGGGCCTGGATGCTGTCCCAGAGCTTTTGTTCTCAAGGGAGCACTCTACCATTTGAGCCACAGCTCCACCTTTGACTTTTCCATGGTGAATTAGAGATAAGAGTCTCTTGAACTTTCCTACCAGGGCTGGCTTTGAACAGCACTTCTTAGATATCAGCCTACTGAGTAGCTACGATTATAGATGTGAGCCACCAGCACCTGACTAAGGAATCAATATTTTTAAAAACACTGGTCCGTGAGAAATGCTAGCTTAGTGATTCTGTGCTTTCTTTTTCTGCCAATGAAGTCTTTAGAAAGGTACATGCTTAATTGAGATTAAACTCCCTGTCATGATGGGTCTATTCTACGGCAGTGTCCCAGACAGCAATAAGGCTGCTCAGACATAGACCAGACAAACATTACCTGGAGTACACACACACACACACACACACACACACACACACACACACACACACACACATACACACACTACACACATGCTCCTTTTTCCATAGACATTTTCCACAGTCATCTGAACTTTTTCATTTGATCTTGAGTTTTCTTTCATTTCCTAGGAATGAAAGTAATCTTGCAAACAAACTCTGTTTTATCAGATTTCACTAGAGGGGCCTCTGCTCACATCTACTTCACTGCTCAGACCCCTACATCCAGCTTCTACTCCTTCTTTCCACAAAGGCTGCAACTATCTTGAGACAATGGCAGGAACAAGCTCTGTGTGGCACCTTCTCAACCTCTCACAGCCTTCAGTGTGCTGTCATTCATTCGCATCTCCTGTCATGGGCTCACACAGAAGATGGGCATGCATGCCTGGGTTTCACTGCCTTGTCTAGAAGGGCTCTGTAGTGTGGACAGTAGGGGTGTGGTTAGTATACCCTCTCCCTGTTGGATTACCTCTGAAAATTTTGCCCTGAAGAAGTGTTTCTTAGGCTGTAGGAATGAATCAAATGGTAGAGTGCCAGCCCTAAAAAGCTCAAGGTTCTGAGTTCAAATCCCAGTATGAAAGAAGACCGAGGATGTGGAAGAAGAGAAAGAGAAGGAGAAGGAGATTTAAGGCATTGTTTCTTAGGAGATGAGTATGGTGAAACATACCTATTGTTAGGAAAATGGAGAAAAAACAGCAATAAGGTGGACTCAGTCTCAACAGACAAGGACTGTTTATTGAGGAACAGTGAGAGGGAGACAATCATCTCATGGGATTGGTGAGATCAGAGGTTGTTCAAGGGGATGAAATTGGGATTGGGCTTA